TGCTTCTTGGCTTGCTCGGCTCTGATGTAGGCGGGGACTCTGGGGGGTGTTGACGGGAGAGGGCCCATAGAGAAAGGAGGGGGATCAGCGAACGAAGAGCGCTTCTTGGAGGGATCGCGCGGACGAGAACGACCACGAAGATCATGAAGAGAGGTGTTGGTGTGAGGGGCGCGGTTCTTGGTGGGAGAAGCAGGGGGGTGAATCTCGGCCTGTGGGCGAACAGTGGTTAGTGATTGGTACCGGGGGTGTTAGTGTTGGGAAGGAGGGAGGGGACTTACTTCGTCGTCGTCGCTGATTTCGATGATTGAGTCGAGGTGGTCGGCGGGGGGATCGGGGGACGGATCGGGGATGGGGGTCGAGGGGGAGGTCTGCTGAAGGGTGTATTGGGTTAGTGGATGAGGCTATGGATAGGGCAAATGTGTGTTTGAGGACTTACCGCGGAAGTCATCTCGGCGGGATTAGGAGTCGTGAATGAGCTGGCGGTGGGTTTGGGGACTGCGTGGCTGATGCCCTTGCCGCGGTATTTGTTACCTGTGTCGGGAATCATGGTTGGGAGAGGCTGGGAGTGTCAAAAGGGAGAGCTTGTGAGGTGGAGAGAGAGGATTGTTGAGGGAAAGAAGAGTGAGGGTGAAAAGGCTGAAGGTGGTGTTGGCGGGGGAGTTTGCCAGTGAGTCGATCTTTTCAGGCCAGTCAGCAGTTGTTGTGCGAGCACGGTGAATGACCAGGCTGAGTATTGCGGGACAGCTGGAGGGTCTGCGCAGATGACAGCTTCCAGGTTGCTCCAGGGCGGTGAGGTTACTGGAAGGGCCGCAGAGCTGGCCGCCGGACCTCTCGTCGTCAGAGGTAACTCCACAGCATCAAGCAACCGCTCATTGCCCGTTGACTATTTTGGAGCTTTGAACATTATTTTTGTGTTATTTGAGCATGGGGCCTTGCGATGACCGTAACGTACTATGCATCTTACTCATATCCATGGTGAGCTTGCGCTGCTGCAGACCATGACTGGGACATTGTTTGTAGAGACAAGCAGTTACTCATCATGAGTTGTTCAGAAATCCCTACCAGCTGTTAGGTCAAGCTTTTGTGTCATAGACTGACTGTCCTAAATTTCTTACCTTTACGTTGCATAATGACCACGTCCCAAGGTGTAAGAGTCTGTCTTCCGGCTGTCGATATCGTCATCTCCAGACCCCAAGCCAAGGCAAGCACAGTACTCCCCATTCCACTGCTGTTTCAACTCTAAAACGTTGATCCAGGGCTCTCAGCCCATATACTCAACCCTCAAGTCATCATCAAAGACGAGATTCTCAAGACCACCGCCCACCCTTACCACAAAATGATTGACACACAAAAGTAGATTAACATGCTTTTAAAGATAGTGCATAGGCCTTTAAAAATAGTTAGAAGGCCTATTAATTTTCTTTTAAAGCATCATTTATAACATGGTATGTGTTAACCTATTAATGCGTATCAACTATTTTGCGGTGATGGTACCGCCGCCGCTGTTGACATGGGAAACCCCATTACCCCCGACATGTCAAAATATTTCTTCGCCATCATGAAACACGGTGTCGATAAGATGGTGCATTTTGTCACCGACCCCAACCTCAGTGAGCATATGGGCCAGCTTGCATCACTCGGCCCCGTCGCCACACTGAAATCCCAGTTGTAGATTGTTGAACATGAAGCAGAGGAGCACAAAGCTCGGGTGGCGTGTGGTTTGGTTGATGAGGCCATTTTGCGGATGAAAATAAGTACAAGTTTGATCGTCCTAACTGTCGGGGATTGGGATAATCGGTTTATTTTATTTTGAATATGCGTAAGAGCTGAAGGATACTGATATCCTATGAACCACACCGCTTTTGAAGGCTATTACCGAGTAGATCAGACTCAATCTTTGTTGGTTTAGCTATCACGACATACGACATTGCGGTTTTTGGAACTGGCTGGCTCGGATGGCAAAATGGATACTGCCCCTGGGCTGTTCAATTTCTCGTGGAATCTGAAGCCTGGACCAGGATATCAGCGGCGTTGGTCATAGATACAGAACGATACCTGTTGCTGCACGAATTTGAGCTCAGGTAGTATTTTTGTCTCCGTGTAACTATAAAGCTGTGACGTCATGTTCAATCATCACTGTTGCATGCATCTTGGAAGTTCTGTTAACTTCAACAGTGTGGATACAAAGGCGGTATCCCTTTGCTTCGGGAGCACTGAATAGTACTACAAACAAACAGAATAAGCCTCGTTTTCCCTCTCAATCCTGGTCAATCTTTGGCGGTATTGCTTATCATATCATAATTTTGTAGAAGCCCCAATGCTGGAACTCCCATCATCTATTGTAGGAGAAGTCTTTGATCAACTTTTTCTCCCGGTTTAACCCCCATTTACGCAAGTACCTCAGAACTGTCATCTCCTCCAAATCCCCCCACGATTCTCCCATTTCTAACACAAAATCTTCCAGATCCCAATTTCCAAAGTGTCACCCCAAGCAACACACTCAGCCACCCCAGCCACAATGCACCGCCACCCCCTGAGAGCACCTCCGTCTCTCATCAGTTCAACAGCACCCACACCCAAGACACTCAGGATATCAGGGCTAGCAATCTTGTGACGATATACTGTTCTTGCAGCTATTTACTCAAATCTTGAATTTTCACACTGTCAAGTCTGATCAAGAATTCCAGTGCAAACCTCACACCCACCAATACGTAGCTAAAAGCAGCAGGACTTCACGCTGGCGTAGAATTCAAGATTCTGGGTGGTAGTTCGGACTATTTGACCAACTCTTGCTCTCCGGGTGTGCTTGAACTTTCGCGAATGGACTTTTGAGAAGTCGGGGGGCCGTCGGAAGATCGAGGAAGCTGTCACGAGAGCCGAGGTCAGTAAGAAGCAAGGTAGAACAGTGGGAGAACTTGCCTGGTCGTGACTTCAAGCGTTCTCATCGGAAAGGGGCGGCCCGGAATTATTGTCCAACCCCCGTCGGTGATATCTGTCGAACGGGGGAATCGCTAATATCGAGTAGGCGACCCGGAAGCTTCAGTCGATTTGTCCGTAAGTCCAATCAGGACAATGAAAATAAAATCACTGAGTAAGCCCAACCACGACGAGAATCCCACAAGAATAGTAAAGCTAACACGCCCACCTCGGCCGGGACCCCAGTCAACGACATGACCGTCGCAGGCCCACAGAAACTTTCCATAGGGATCCCTTTCAACCCTCGCATACAAGTCCCTGCGCCCTCAGAGGTTCCGCTGGGGACCATCTGTATGCTCGGTCAACCACGGTGCCAACCATAGTCGCCCAAGTTCGAGAGGCGTATACATAGGCGACATGGGTGGTAACCGACAGCGAGTCACTACAGCGAGACACCAGTGCCCACGGTCCAAACCGGCGTGGAGGTCCGGAGGAGGTATGAGACTGGATCGATCGGTGTTGGCGGCCAGATGCCAGAAACCAAATGACGCGTGGTGGTTGATGTGATGGCGGAAGGTCGAAGGAATCATGAGCAGCGAGAATGACCGGTGGTGGACGGATTCCAGCCCTGGACCGGCTGCGAAAACAGCAGAGCCGGGATAGGGGAGAGGGACTCGGGAGTGTCTGGGCTGAGTGGGTGGGGCAGAATCACTTGACAACTGAGGGATGCCAGGTGGGGTGCTTGTGAACTCTCTTATTCCGACTCCTGCCGCGCCAGGATAACGATATTTGCGACAAATCTGGACAATGGCAAGCAAACAGAGATTGCAGAAGAAACGCAAGGCCTGGAAAGAGAGAAAAAAGCACATCACAAAGCTACCAAGGCCGCGGAATCCACACCTGGCAGCTCCAAGTCCCTTGGTGTTAACATTAACCCCAAGCCTGGGGAGGCTCGACCGGTAAGAGCAATGAATGTGCCGGTACTTGACCCAAATTTAACAGATAAAAAGTCCAGAAGCGTTTTGCTGCGTACTGAAGCAAAGCTCGACCAGATCCAAGCCCAGCTGGAGAAACACAACAAGAAATGGACCGCCAACGTGATGAATGTGCACAGACAGCTGGAGGTTGAACTCATCCAGGATGGCATCAACAAAAAGCAGGTTGACCTCATTGCAAACGTTGGGAACAGGCTTTTGCATGAGATCAACGCCATCAAGGATATAATCGAAGGCATGAAGAAGACTCGTGCCAATGATTTCAAACACATTGTGGTGGAAGAAATGGAAGAGAATGGTCAAGACGGTGACCTGCCTGGGTCGGAGGAAGAGGAACTTGTCATTTTCGTAGGGGAATAGGTAAGAGTAAAGATGTGTACCTATCAATTCGGGGCCCCCTGATGCCGTCATTACTGGCCCTTTGCACTCCAAGCGAGCCTGAAATGTTGGGTGCCCTGGTGATCAACAACAGACATTCAGCCCAAGTCTCTGCCTCCCAGACTGTACTTCATGTTGTGCTATAGATCCCACAAGACAAGAATCAATCTCGACTTCTGACCGCTTCCGACTGTTTTGGTGTACTGATGTCACCGCTTCGTGATTCTTCCTTTCCCTTCCGCCTTCCAGCTTCTTCCTCTAGAGCTGAGGACTCATGACCCTGGCAGACCGGCCAATGACGCGTACCTCCCGGCCGACGGGCTTCCATCCGAACTGGTCGCTCCTTCCTCAGCCAGTTACATGTAACCTCATTGCCCCCCCCAACCTCGAGTCGACGTTGCTCCTTCCTCAGACTGCCCTTGATTGTCGATTCGTCACTCTTGGTGCATGCCTATTCACTCTATTCACCTGCTAATGGCCCTGCCTATTGTCTGATTTTTCTGCCCTGCTGCCCAACTCTTGCCTCGCTGCTCAGGTATAAAATCCCTTCTCCCGTTCCCTCTTTTGCTCCCACTCTCTTCTCTCCCTCCCACTTTTTTCTCTTGCTTCTGCCCTCCACAACCCGGCAAAGGCAAACTTCTCTCTTCTCTACCGACCACCGACCGCCCACCACTCACCACTCACCACCATCGCGTCTTGCTATTTGACAGAATGGGTCGTGGTCTAAGAAAGTCGGCTAACCAGTCTGCCGTCGCCCTCAGTGGCTCAACTGAGGATGCCGAGGTACGTCTGACACACCTTCTGGCACTATTCCTACGATTTCATCGACTTGTTTTCAATGTAACACTCGACAAGCTTCTTCAGGATTCACGAATGGAGCTCGACTTCCCCGCCTCCGGCACTGAAGCTGCCGTCGACGGCCAGCCGTTTGCAATTGTAAGTCTCTCGATCACACGCCTTCGCCATTGTGGTGCCCAGCCTCAGTCTGCCACAAACACATTTGTCTCTACACCTATCCGTTCTGCTGCGCCATGAGTCTGGCGCACAGCCGCCACACCGGATCTCAACCTCGTGGCCTGACCGGGCTTGCTTGCCGGCTATGGATAAGGGGATGATTTCTGGTGAGTGTTGTGTGTTGGTTATCATCTATTTCGATTCCACTCGACTCTTGGCTGCCCACGGTTGGCACGAAGAAATGTATGGTTAACATATTTACCAGATGACACTGACACGGAAGAAGATTCCCAAAAGCCCAGCAAGAATATAAGCGCCTGAGAGCCGTCAATGATTTTCAAGCCACTTACAACTGATCAAACTCGACTTTTTTTTAAATCAGATTCAGATTGACTTTCATTTGCAAATGCCGGCAACACAAATCATGGACTCCAACTATTGCAATAGGTACAAAGGCTAGCCCCCGTTTTGGATCGGTTGGCCTCGACGGTAATAACCTGGTTTATGGCGTTAGAATATTTTGTCTTGTGGCTGTTCACGTATTGGATAGTTTATTGCTAAGTTACTCCTCCGTCTAGTCCGTGAAATAGCATGCTGCCGTTTAACAAACGTATAGTTATGACTCAGGCGGTTGCATAGTGATATCTCTAACCAAAACCACGGCGCTTTCGATGACGCGTTCGGTATACTTTCATATTTGTATATCTTAAGAGTTGAATGAGTAAGATGTGAAGATGAGGTGTACAAGTTGTTAGGTGCAAAAGCAAAAGAAGAAAACAAGGAAATGTACTTTTGGTACGAATTGAGTCAAGACGGTGTTGCATTCTAGATACAAACAGTCCATGTCCGGAGAGAAGTCCCGGTTGTTGCGATGGATCTGTTTACCTCAAGAATCCTGGCCTGCTGAAACCTGCGAGAGACCATTACTTCCGCCAAGCACCGTCGACAAGCTTTTTCACCCCAGAATCAAAATGCCCCGCATACCCGACCCCCTGCCTGGTGTTGTAGGTACCTATAAGCTGCTGTTTAGGTTGTATCTAATGTCGAATATAGTATATGGAGATCGCAACTGTTGCGGCCGCATACAGCGACCTCGTGCCAGTGCTTTGTGGATCACATATGGCAAACTATCTTTCCCCACTTTTTCGATGAAGACAATGGCTTTTCGTGGAGGTATCAGCTACCACCGTGCGCCGGCTCCCTAGAACGATAGGACTGCAAGGTCCAGATTTTGACAACTCTTCCAGGTGGTGAACGAAAACTTCAGCCCGTTTTCATTATTGAAGACAAGAAGATTGGCGGCGGTGTTGAGGCTTGGGAGAAAACTAAGAGACAGTTGCGGGATTATTTGGAGCAAGAGTGTGGCATATTTACTGATAAGAACCCGAAGACGGGTAGCAAAAGAAAGCGTGCGAAGAAGGAAGAGCGTCCGAAGGAGTAAGGACCCGAATAAGTGTATTTGGGCGGCAGTCACAATTGGACGCGATGTGTATTTCTACGAGTTCTACCCGGAACGAGGCGAGGACGATACGGGAGAAATGAATTCGTTCATGCTGAAGACAGAACAGACACTTCATATCAGGAATGACGAGGTGACGATAGTGGGAATACTTCGCGAGATTGCCAAAAAGGCCAGGGTTCGATGCTGCACTGAAGGACAAATAGATAGATAATGACAGAGTTAAAACCCATAATTGGGCCAGGAAGCGCCCCATTTTTCGTTTGTGAGCCCCATCTTCCTCCGTTTGCGAACCCAATGTTCACCCCTTTGTAAGCCCCATCTTCCATTTATAAAAGAATCTATACCCGCGCATTACCTTCCTGATATCCGCGTATTTACCCCTACAGGGGTTATAGTTATATATGGCCATCAAGTACATACACCTCATCAACCAAATTATCAACCACATCACCAACCAGATCATCGACCATGTGTCAAGGACAACTATTTTCGGGAAAAGGTTAGTGAGACTAAGGTATATGAGTGATGTGAGGTGGTTTAGTGGACTTTACCTCCACGGAACTCGCTTGTCCAACTTGGCGAGCTCCTCCTGGCATCCGCAATTAACCATCTGCAGATAGGGCAAGTTGACCAAGAGGGACTGACTGAAAAAGTAGAGTGGTTTTCCGTCCTCAATATAGATTGGCAGAGTACTTGGGTTTGCAGACACAGAGATACAGGGCTCTTAGTGAGTCTTGAATGTGCAATCCTTTCTGGGTGGGAGACTGAATGTCGTTGTTTTGGGCGTGGGCTTCGTCTGTCACGGAGGAGATTGGCGTAAATCAAAAGTTTGCGGTGACAGGGATAAAATGGTGCAATAGGAAGCGAAGGGGGCTTGGAGGCTAAAGCCAGAGCGAAAGCTTCCACAAAAAGGGACCTCCGTGCAGCAAGAATAAAAGGAAGATTTTAGGGCTGTGTTCGATAGAACGGCAGCGCCACCCTTGAAGCTCCGAAGGATAACCGCCTCACAGGCTGTGCAGTCATTCGTATGACCTTGGCTGGGTTAGAGTTCTGTGTCATTTGCTAACAAATGCTCATGCGACCAAGCAACTTCGCTTTATTGCTCACAAACACAGACACCACTCTTACTACTATTAGCAACGTAGCCTGTTATGACACATAGGACGTAATCCTATTCAAGCACACATTCACTGGTTGTTCATCTAAACAACGTCGTCCCCGCTCCCGGTTATAGCGAGTTTTACCATATGTTGAAGGATGATTTATAAATATTGAAAGATAGTTAGCAGGCCTTGAAATATATTCAATAGGCCTTAGAAGCAGGACAAAAGTTCTTAAAATATCATAAGAAAAAGTTTTGAAAGATAATTTTAAGGCCTTTAAAGATAATTTCAAGGCTTATTAATTTTCTTCCAGGTCCTTTTACTATATTATAGGGAGGGTAAGTAAATATGTAAGGAGGAGGTATCCGTAGGACCCATTAGTGGCTCTGAAAAGGCTTTTTCTTTATAATGGTGGAGACTCTTACTTGCATCTGCTAGTAACGTATATTATAAGCGAGCGACCAATATAAGCGAGCGACCACCTTTTTCACGCGACGCGTAACCTTAACCTCAACACCTTATTTTCTTAACATTCCAAAATACCATCTACTTCAAAGGAAGCCCATATAATCTTAGCCCTTGAGGCTCTTCGAAATAATAATAATCTAAGAATATTAGCTGCAGCTAAGATATATAACGTCGATCGCAGTACGCTTAGATACCGACGCGCCGGCCGGCCTGCACGACGCGATACTACGCCCAGATCGAAGAAGCTTACTCAATCCGAAGAGGAGGCTATTATTTACTATATTATTAAGTTATCTACGCGAGCTTTTCTACTAAGGTTACGTAGTGTGGAAGATATGGCTAACTAACTGTTGCGCGTACGCGACGCGCCCCCTATTAGTAAATTCTAGGTATATAACTTCGTTAAACGCTAGCTATAGCTCCGTACGCGTTTTATACGTAGATACGATTATTAGAGGGCTAAGTACGAGGATCCGAAGGTTATTACCGAGTAGTTTACGTTTATATAAAATACTAAAGCTAAATACGGTATTATAAATAACGATATTTATAACTTTAACGAAATTAGGTTTATAATAAATATTTTTTTTATAAATATAGTAATTATAATCTCGGACGGCTTTAATAAAATAAAATTAATTTAGTTTTATAACCGTAAGTAAGTAACAGTAATTTAGAGAGTTAATACCTTCGGTTAGGCTATTCTGCCCTTTATTATTTTAGCCGTATAGTATTATTTTACTAATTAATATACCGAATATAATTTATTATTTATTTAACGTATCGTAATTACTAATAATAATTAAATTACTAATCCGGTAAGCCTAAATTAAATTAAATATTTTAATTATTATATAGTGTCCCGTATAAAGGGTAAATATCGGTTATTAATTTTCGATAATTACGAAAGTTATTACTCGATTAAATTCGAATATTATTATTAGTAAAATAATATTATTATACTTTATATATTTCTATACTCCTCCCACCTCCTTTAACTATTTAATATTAATTACTTTAGGCCGCTAAAATAAGTATACGGCTGCTAGATCGAAGGCTTAATATATATATATATTAATTATATAAGTAAGTTCGAGTTTCTTTGTGCTTTCCGCGAAACTTTTTTCGTTTTTATAACGGAAAAGAATATATAGGGTAGTTTTATAAGTGCTAGCTTTATATTATACGATTTAAAAAGGGTATTTTTTAAATTAAATATAAAGTTTCGTATATTAATACCCTTATCCTTAAAGCCGGGTACGGTACTCCCTTAGGTATTTTAAATACTATAAAACCCCCGAGAAGTTAACTTATATTCCACGCTTATTAAGACTTATATCACTAACTATTAAAATAACTTCCCGACTTTAATATTAAATACTATAGATTAATTTACTAAAAGTACGATATTTATAATATATTAAGTAGCCCTCTTATAAGTAAAGGTCTCTTCGCTCCGTAAAGCTAATGAAGTACTAAGTAAGCGCCGGAGAGCTAAAAAAATACGTGTACGGCTCAGAGGATCACTTACTATGCAAGATGCACAGGATCTACTGGACCAGAAGGCCGTGGGTGGGGAGGCAGTAGAAGAAATATAGCCGGATAGCGGTGGTGTAGGGGGGGCTCGTACGAAGGTTCAGTGCTGTGGTGTGTGCGGCAAGCCTGGCCATAATGCGCGCACTTGCCAGGAGGCTATAGAATTGTCTGATTCAGCTATTTCGGATGTAATTATGGTTGCTTCTTAGTATGGTTGTGTAGTAATTGAGGATAATGATATAAAGGTTGTGAAAAAGTGGTCGCTCGCTTATATTGGTCGCTCGCTTATAATATACGTTATGCTATTCGACTAGTAACACTCTTTAACATGTTCATGGGCATAACGTGTCCTTTATGAAGGACTGCCATGTTCACGTACCAGCTATGATGTGTTGCTGTAGCATGGTAGGCTATCATATTAATATTGTCTTTGAGACACATTATGGGATAAATTAGAGTCTGGAGATACTTCCAATAGGTATGTTGTACTTTGATCATGTCATGTACGTGACGTTGAACATCCCCAGGAAGCCTCGCCTGCATCCCCCTCGCTGTCCAGCCACCCAGTCCTCACGTCTCAAGTAAAAACCTTCTTGTCCTTCGCCTTGTACACATAGATGATGTAATAAGTCTTGCAACTATCCGTCAGGCTGTCCCAGCCAGCCCCCTGGTCTTTGATTTCCAGGTCGTCGTACTCGGCGGAATGCTCCTTCTTCAGCCAGGCGTGGTAGCCCTTCTTGTCGGTGTCTTCCCGGTAGGCCTTGAGGACGATTTGCATTGGCACTGAGCTGGGGGGTCCCATGAGGAGGTTGGTGGCTTTGTCGATGAGCTCTGACTCGGGGAGGTCTCCGTCGTCGGGGAACTTGTCGTCTTTTTGGTTGGGGAATTCGACTTTGTGGGCCATGTTGGGGTCTATGCCGTCTATTATGCGGACGAGGGAGACGGTTTGGGATTGCTGGTGTTACGGGTGTTAGAGCAGGATTTCGTTATGTGTCAGGGGAAGAAGGCTTACCTCGGTGATGCGCCAGTAGCGGTAGTCCTTTACGGTTGAGGCCCAGGCAGATGGGCTTTGTGGGAGTCAGCTTGTATGTACGTTGCGACAACGGCTGGAGCTGGAACTCACTTGGAACAAAGCACAGTGTCTCCACCACGCGCCTCCCAGGTCAAGGCAGCGTTCCCGATCGTCTGGCCCTGGGTCGTCGTTGTGGTGTCACTGGTGGTCTTGGCGTAGTTCACCCCAAAGCTCACTTGGGGTGAGGCAAAACTGAGGCCGGCGGCCTTCTTGGTCTCTTCCTTGGCTGCATCGAGTTGCTCGTTGGTCTTGACTATGACTTGGCGGCTGCTGCGGAGGAAACCGCCGAGGACGACCTTGGTTGGGAATGCGTCACCTGTATTGGAGTATGAGCTTACGGACTTGTCTGGAGCTTGGGAGGGAAGGTGGCACCGTAGTCATTGATGAACTGAACTTTGTCGTAGTCGCTCTTGATGTTCTTGATTGCTTCCTCGCACTCGTCGGAGAGCTGGAGGTAGCGGGGGGAGAGGTCTATGGCTACGCGGGGGAACTGTTCCAAGGTCAGTGGTTTGGACGTCTAAGTCTACCTCGACACATGACAAACATACCTTGTAAGCGACCTCCAAGGTAAAGTCGGTCTCTTCAGTGAGACTCTTCTTGCTGTAGGAATTCTCGTCGGAGAGGGCCGCGGAGGCAGAGATCGACTTGCCAAACGGGCTCCCGCTTCTACGCAATGTTTAGCCATGGGTACAAGACCAGCAGTGAGTTTGTGACTGACGCATTTGCTTCAATAGCTGTGGAACTGAATCCTTCCCGCGCCATGGACCGTTGGAACGCAGTCCTGGTTTCGGTGACGGTGACCTTGGAGTCGTCATCGATGTAGAAAGATGGAATGCCTGGGACAGTGTTCTGTTTGGCCTCATGTTAGTTACCTGTGGGTGGCAATCAGATGCGAGTTTGACAAACCAGATATTCCTTCACCACCTTCTTGTCGCTCGTCTTGTCGAGTGCCTTTTCCTCTGGCACTGGGGCTTTCGCTACTTCGCCGAGATCCGGAGAAGGTGCCTGGAGCGGACGACGGATTGAGAAGGCTTCTGTTATCAGCTTGGAATTGGATCCCAGCAATGAGTAGGATCAACATACCTCTCTTGGGGGCCTTGACCAAGAGTCCGGTGCCTGGCATGTGGGTGTAGCCATGCAGAATCCGGTTATTGAACAGGATATTCTCCCACTGCGTCTCAGTCAAATCGGCGGGTTCGGTGTAATCCCTGGAACTGTATTGATACAAGTCCATGTCAGCATTGTCGATAATATGTCGCCATCTGCACAAGACATACATAGCTGTCGTCGCGTAATTTTGCTGCAGAGAGTCAAGCTTTCCCAACAACTCGGCGGTATTCCCGAGTTTGCCGCCATCAACTCCTTTGCCAGCGCTTCCGAGTAGGTTTTTGAGATCAGAGATCACAGTGGATTGCGGGACGTTCTCCTGTGGCTTGCTGGCCACGACCGTGGAGACGAGATGAACTGTGACGAAGGGAACACCCTTGGGCTTGGGCTTTTCCTCCGTCTCAGCAGCTGGTGCTCCCTCTACCTTCTCGGTGGCCTTTGCTTCGGGAGAAAGGCTGGCAAGGTTCTGCAATGTTGGTCAGCCAAGATAAACAAGGGTTTGTAGAAAATAAACATCTTACGTCAGGGGTCAAGTGGATGTAGTCATTGAGAGACGTGCTGTCGGAGAGGGCATTTTTGCCATTGGTGCTGAAGGCGTATTTCTTTGGGCTACAGACATGTTAGATTCCGCTCACCGTGGCCACCAAAGATGTTTGACATACATGCGGCAAAGGCCCCTGAGCTTGGACAACGTTGCTTTTTCCACATCGGAACCCAGCGTTTTGCTAGAGATGGAAGGGAACGGCTCGCCGCCTGGGCTTTCGATTTGGATTTGAAAATCGGGGAAGGAAGCCATGATGATGATGATGATGCGTGGTGTGTGAGAACGGTTGGCGATTCAAAGCTTGAAAGAGCAAAGAGTTCTGGAAACAAAGTGCTTGATGATACAACTCTCCTGTCAAAGAAGCCATTTTTATCCTTCTTGTACGTGGTCCATGCCTCGTCGGCTCGACTCCAGATCAACACGGGGACCTACCCCCCGGCAAGCCCGCTTGACCCAATGGACACCTTCTTGTAGATGCTCCACACAGGTATGCCTGCGTCACTCCCGATAACTTGCAGTTTTGGTGACACTTAGTTCTAAGACATACCTTCAACCCGCAATCCTCAGCCAGCCACTCACCCATTCACCCACTGTAGGGTTCCCCGCTTTGGTTCTTGAAGCACGCAAATCTAACCACTTGAGCCCCGCAGAGATGTGTTGACAGAATGTCGATCAATCCAATTGACAGATCGACAGCTGCACATCGCGCCAATCTCGCCGCCAAAGGCGGGTCACGATGGGTCAACTACAGCTTCAGTCTCGTAAAATCATCATCCACGATACAGCAACCACCCGCCCTCCTAGACATCAGCAACCGTTTATCGCGCGTAACAAGAATACTACAACTCCAGATGATCCACACGTGTACCAGACATTGAGCCACCGTTACGTCAACACAGCGAGTCGAGCTGAAACTCCATCTTGTGAATCAATCATCGTCTCCAAAATACCATCACGGCCCGAATGCCTGCAGAGTGCATACGAGCTTCGGGGACGACCTGGTCGGCGACCTCCTGTTGTTCGACAATGATCTGACGTCGTGGGCATGTCCAAGATAGCACAGCACGCCTCGCAGACTCACAGCATTCTCAGGTTATATAGCGACATTTGGCTTCCCTCCGTCTTACACTTGTGGCATCATCTGCATCATTTAAACTTTGAACCCATCGCACTCAATCTCTCTATCTCGTCCACAATCATTCACCTTCAACATGTCAACCGACTGGAACAACGACCCCAAGGCAGCAGAGAAGACCTTGCAGGACTCTCTCGAGGCTGAACTCAAAACGCACCCGGATCGTTTCCTCAGAACGGCGAAGGCAGACGGCAAGGTCACTTTCAATGGCGACAAGAGCCCATTCTACGGTACGATTACTACTCTGCGTGCAACCATGTCGTTGATGTTGGGACTGACACAAAGGTTCTTTCAGCCATCCAAGCATATGTCTGGTGCGGAATGCTGTATCCCGACAATGATGCCGACTTCCAGAAGAAGCTCCCTCAGTCCCGGTTCAAGCCTTTGGAAGCGGTCCTTCCCAAGATCTACGAGGTATGACACCTTGCCATCAGCCTGGAAAGCATAGGTGCTTACCATGTGAACAGGACACCAAAGATGCTCTCGTCGCTGTTTCTTCCTCGTGCCACAAGTTCAGCAGTGGGCCCATGGAGGGGGTCTGTGAGTTCTCTCCATCCCCCATTTTGAACCCACGCCCTTGGCATTCTGATTGACGTTTCTCAAGTCTCCTATTCCTCCCTGGTGAAGAAATACGCCGTCAACGCCAAGACCTCTCTCGGAGCCGACGACGGCCTCGGCGCGCAGCTCAAGACGCTGACGTCGGACAAGTACAAGAACAAGGACAGCATTGACGATGATTTCGAAGCGGCGAAGGAGCTCGCGAAGGAAAGACTGGAGGAGCTCAAGTCGGACGCCAAGGAGAAGGAAGAGCAGAGTGACAAGTTGAGGAAAGACCTTCAAGACGTGAGATTCATCTTGATGTTTGGGATGGCAGAGAAAAAACTTATGACTGACCTGTCGGATGGATGATAGTTCCTCAACGAAACCGAGGCCAACAAGAAGCAGGTCACCGCTGTGAATGACAAGTATCTAAGCCCGGTGACGGATTCTGGGGGGAAGCATTACAAGAATGCGATGGTGTACTTGAACCATGAACTGGAAGACTTGCAGAAGAAGCTCAAGGACGCCAAGGATGAGGCGGATAAGCAGACCAAGGAGTTGGTGAGTTCAATCCAAGCCATTAGCGCATTCTACACATGTTGGAAAGGTCACTGATTTTGTGCGTGTTCCAGAAAGAGGAAGGGGACCCCAAGGGTTGGAAGTTCTGGATCAATGTGCTCAGCGGCCCTACGGGTACTTGGAACCTGTACCAGAAGCTCAAAGACTTCAAGGATGCGTTGGACAAGTGGTCCACCCAGAACAAGGAGACGGAGGATGTTCTCAAATGCCAGACTACTGTCACGGCCTTGGAGGCTCAGATTGATGATTTGATCACCAGGATGACAAAGGCGGTGGAGGGGATCCGGTTGATTCAGGACACCTTCCGGCATTTGGGAGAGTCTCTTGACCCTGTTATCAAGGCCATTGACAAGATTGAGAAGGGCACGAGTTCATCATTGCAGGCTATCCGGAAGTCCAACATCAGCCATGGCATTCAGGATGCTGTCACAAAGTATGACGAGGTAGGTTTTCTGCAGAAAATTGGTACTTATCCATTTCAATGGAGCTGACAAAGAGTTTGCAGATTATCAAGGAAGCCGAAGACTTTGCTAAGGCAGCTCAGATCAAGGTCGTCGATGCTTAGACGCGGTTGGCGGTGGGCGTAACAACCAAGCATGCAACAGGCTCTTCTTGTCATGACTGTGCTGCCAGCCTGTCAAGTCCGGCTTCTCTTATGGGATAATATCCGGGCTGCTTTGGTTGGGTGAAAAGAGGGCTACTGTTTGAGGGACTGTTTTTCGGGGATTTGGCCAGTGATGATATCTCAGTCTTGAACCGAGGTCTTCAATCTAATATATTGTTTTCTCTTCCTTGTCACTATTTTCTCCTGACCCAAACCTACCTGGTTGACCAATGCATGTTGTGGACAGTAGCTGGCGCGTTTGCGCAACGAGCACACTTCATGTGTGCCAATGGAGGCCTACGGAAGCATGCATCTTGACGGGACATCGAGCACGTTTGATGGCCAATACCCAGCGAGGATCAAAATGCAGTCCCAACCCCACACATGACAAACGTTTGGGCATTAATGCTTGACATCAAAAATACTTTTCGTTGGAACCATCTTCTTCTCCGAAACCTCATCTCGGTTCCATCCGCAAGGCCACAAACTTCAACAGCACCTCTCCCCCCCAGCAGTGTAACGTCAGCTCTTCAACCCTCCCCTGATAGTCAAGGTATGCCTCTCCATGTCCTTCAATGCTTGTTCTGCGCTGACGACCGACCGCTTGAACTTAGATGACCGTGGAAAAGTCCATTGTCCCAAACGAGCCCCCTCCCTATTCGCCTCCAGTGAGCTTCTTCGGCCCGACCGCCATTCAGGGCGCCATTCTAGACCCTGGACACACATACATTTTGTGGGATCGTAACACTGGCTTGGTCGTTGCCATGCGCGACGGCAACTTGGCGCTAGTTCCCCATGACACGTTACGCACTCACAAGGATACTTGGCACTGGGAATGTGAAGAGAAGGGAGGGTGGTTTTCGCTTCGGCATCCGGCTGTGCGAATGAATATTGGTTATCGGGTGGGAGGACGCCTGTCTCGATGGGCTGCTAAACTGATGGTTGGGGAGTTTGATGATGTAAAGCAGGACAGGTTTTGCTACAGAGTGGCCCCTGAGGGAGGGCATAAGTTGTGGTGGAAGAGGGACGATAGTCTTCATGTTGTCGTGCTCGATCCCGCCAGTGGCAGTGAATTGCATTTGTGGTCGGCAGGGCCGAATGACGTGGTGAGCTGGGAATTTGTCCAGCTGGCGGATGGGGATAGGCAGTAGTTGACTGTGTTGACTGGATAATTAGATCTCTCCGTTGAAATGTTTGAGATATTGGTTCTGTTGGACTCCTTTTTAGGTATGTTTCAAGAGCTAATATGTCCCTTTCATATCCACCGCCATGCGGCCTTCCCCTGAAATATCATCCCCACGGTCCGGACAAGCACGCCTTGCCACCTTTCTCCATCCATACGAGCAGACAGCCCCGCCACAACATGGCTGGCTTCAGTGATCAACCACTGTCTATTATAGAATAGTTTAGATCACTTTCAGGCTGTGAAATTCGTGAGAACCTTCATCAGTCCTCATTGACTCTGAACCAAAATACCAAGTTTCACAGCAATGCCGTGATGGTGCGGCCCAATTGACCAGGCGGCCAAAGTTAAGATTTTTATAGAATAAGTTGTTTCACCCCCAGCCTCATTTCAGAAGTGCCTTGCTCTCAAAGGCGCTGAGACGGAGGGTCGGTCTTGGGGCTCGGGGTGAATTCAGGGATAGATATAAAGAGTGGGTTCAGGAGTTGGACTCAAATACTAGGTCGGTAGTGGTAGAATCCATGATGCCAGGAATTGATGTGACGCTGGACTATCGGTTAGTGTGTGCTGCAGGCCGGCCCATGACAGTGGTAAAGGCCATGAACAGGGATTGCGTATACTACTCAGTGCAGATATTGAGTTGACGGTGGAAGAAGGGCCTGGGGCGGTAATACATAGACTGGACTACGACAGATGTTGAACAGTCGATGTTAGGAGTCTGTCCGCAATTCTTTGGGTCTCGAGGGATGAGCACGCGATCTGGGAGTTCCATGTCGGGATGTACCTTGGGATTGTTCAATGTTCAAGAAGATCGGATGTCTGGTAAGTTCATATTGCTCTGTGAGGATCCAATCCGGAGGAAAGGTTAGGGCAATTCTCATAAGCAACCACATAGTGACAAGCCAGCCCATATGCACATGAATTATCCATCTTCCAAAAGGTCTCTGCTGTGATACTTCAAACTGCCTACTGAGATCTTGTTTGTTTTGCCCAACTCAGCAGTGGGAAAAGCGCTTCTTATTTGGGACTGGCACCAAGCTGATTCCTATGGGTCAGTGCCACGATAAGAACCAGACTTTGGCATTGAATGTGGGACAAATCTTTCCTCGCACGCGACGTGTCTGGTACTTCGTGGGGCTCCCCGCCAAAGCCGCTGATGGGAGTATGTAATTTAAGGAGGTAGCCGGGTTTGTTAGAGGCAATCGACCATCAGCTTAAGTATGCCTCCTTTAGGTACTAGCTGTGGCCTAGTGGTTCGCCTATTTTTGAATGCCCAACAGAGTGCTGGGCATCTAAGATCTCTCTAGCTTCTCAGATATGGCTCAGTTTGCAAATTTGACAAGCTCCAGGGTCTATGAATTTTACGGGCTCCGGCCACGGCGCCGGCCGGGAAGGATCCGGGCTCCGGAACGGATACTCCGGCTCCATGTTTTCGGACAGGAAAACTGTAGTCTGAGCCGAGTTGAGGGGCTGAACTTGCTTGACTTGACTCATTGTCCACCCGGCTTTCGTTTGCTGAAGATGTCCTTTTCATCCCAATTGCTGGCCAGCAACCCCACGTGGGAGCGTATCTACACTCACATGTACCACTTACAGGCCAACCAGTGCCCGCCACGATGTCCCCGCCCTTTCTCTTGCCATTTGAGGTTGAAAAGCTCTCGTGGGGCGGTGGCCCGGGCTTCCTGCAAGCCCAAATCTTTTTCCTTGCTCCGGCTGGTGGCTGCTCAGTCTTCGCTAATTCAACCACCTTTTACTTCCGGTCGTTGCCTCACTTTTGGAGAAGCTAATCCTGCTCCTTCTCCCATCAACCTTCTCCTCGACTGTCACAACCCAGTAACCATTCATTACCTTGGAAGATTAGCATCAAACAACCCAACTCCTGTTTGTCTCTCTCAACACGAACTTCTGATCCCACGTTGCTGACCAGCAACCTGGAACACAGTGACGGCGGTATGCTCCATTCGACATCCACTCCGCTTCCGCGAGCGAGCTTCGTGTATTTCTCGATTAAGGAGTAGTTACACAGCTTCTGCCTCTCAACCGATGTAGTGGTGGTGGAAACGAGGGGTCGACAGCTTGTGTTCGACGGTGTGGAAGGGCCTTTGGACGCAATGACGTGATCATTCGAAGTGATACTAGTATGATCTGAGGCGTCCGCGGGTGAATCGAACCCGCGCTTCCGACGTAACAGCCACCGTATTACACACTACACTATAAGGTTAAGAAATACCTAGGGGGCGATATATAACTAATACTATACGTTAATTTCCCTAAGTGGTCGGTAAAGCTCCGTTAGCGATACTTTAACCGGTTAAGAAAAAAGGACCGGCCGCACTATGGTTAAAGGAAAGGCCAGAAGGCTAATCAAGGCCTAGAGAAAGGTCGGAAGGCTAGTCGAGGCTTAAAGAGGGGTCCGAGGCATAAGGAGCCCACAAAACGGTGTCCCAGCCGGCGTCTGGCTACGTAGAGGTATCCGGTAAAGAATCGGGCAGTATTATAATCGTAGATTACGCTACCTGTGACGAACCCCTGTACAGAACCTCTGAAAGGGATACGGGTTAAAGGTAACTTCTGACAATTGGTTCGGTGCAGCTAAACAGTGCACAATAAGATGTCTCAATATAAATATAAGATACTGTAAATACAATTGTAAATTATATACTACGGAACTGTCTAGTTATACCAACCAGTTCCTCCGTATATATAGACCTTAATTCTTCCCGATTATAATAGTCATTCCGCTCTTCCCTAATAATTATAATAATCGCTATAATCCTTCTTTAGTTCCTTATTAATTATATTTCCGTAATTATTATACTTCCTAATCTTATTACTTATAATTGCCCAGACCGCCGCAACCTTATTCTAATTAGCTAATAACTTTATACTATTCTACCGTTTCCGATATTAAGGTTATAATACGATACCCCTCCTCTAGGCCGACGTCTCGGCAACTAAATCCTCTTTTACTGTATCTTTTCTCTTTATTATTCTTAAAGTAAGTACTCCCTTTTTCCCCTCTCTCTTACTAACGTTTATTATATTTAATCTTTTTAAAGTTTTTAAGTCCTTATAGATTTTTACTCCGAACGTTAATTAATAGTACCGTCGCCGTTTAACTTTAATTACCTTTATCGATTTTAAAGGTTTTATTATTATACTTTATTTTTTTTATATTACTTATAATTTAATTTATCGTTTATATAAATATTCTTTTCGTTATAGTAAATATATACGTTAGGCCCGGACCTATAACGCGTCGGATATTTTTATTATTATAAATTAATTTATTTACCTTTTTATTAATATTCCGACTAACCCCGTTTAGTGGAGCGGTTAATTACCGAATACCGTTATTTAACTTTAAAAAAATTAACCGCCGAATAGCGACTTTTAAATACCTATTATAAAATTAAAAAGATTACTTATAAAGCGTAAAAAACTATTATTTATTTATTTCGTTTTTATTAATAAAAATAATATTTATCGAAACGGAGTACCACCGTTATTAGCGAGGTTACGCCTACGCTCGACCTTCCTCTAATTATTACCCTTAATACCGGCCCCTCTAACTAGCCTTCTATTTTATTTAACTAACCGTATTCTAACTTCGGTATCGCCGCTCCAACTAACGTTTTATTTTTAAATCCCTAATTTCCCTCTAATCCTTTATTATCCCTAACCGCTTAAGATTTTTCCGGCAAAAATGTTTTTATTTCCTAAAGTAATTAACGTTTATAATACTATTTACGTCCGGATTCCTTTATATTTATTAATT